CTTTACTAAAGAGGGACCTTCAATAAACAATTAATCAAAAGCTTCATTTTTCAGCCATCTCACACCATCTAGATATGAAAAAAGCTTTGTGATAATAATATGTCAGGGATAAGAATGGATATAAAAGAGTTGGGAGACATTCCTTCTGAGCAAAAGAGAATTTTCCACGTGTTTTCTACGGTTTGTTTATGGGATAGAATGTTACCTGGAAGTAGCCATGAAAGTTGACAACTACATTTAGAAAGCATCACGTATGGGATGATTACGTAACGACTGATCCACAGCAGTATAGTCACATTTATCTTTCAGAAAAATTACTTTTCTAACAGAGTCTCTTATTTTCAAGGAGGACTCTGGAGAGTTTCACATGGGCTGGAAAACCTTAAAAAGGGTAAAATGTTTTGGACATCGAAATCTCCTTTTCTCTACTAAAAGATGTATCGGTTGTATCTAATAACATGTTACTTCCACTTATTTCTTCATCTAGAATTTAGATTCAAAGAATTGCCCAGCTCTAACAGTTTGAGGCTCTGTTTCATACCTTTGTGGTAAAATCTTCCAAGGACGTATTTTCCCCGCTGTCCTCCTCTCTTAGCCAGCCCATCTGAAGAGCGGCCCCCCCCTCCTTATCACCAGGCCCTTGGATCTAGACCAGTCAACTGCAGTTTTTCTTGTGCGAAAACAAAGGAAAGACAGATATTTCCCTCCAGAGCAACAAGGATATTCTGCCACATGAATATGTTGGAAAAGTATTGATGATAGGAACTTGAAAAAAAAACTAGAGAAGTCCAAATTATTTTGACTCCCTTACTATACTCATTTTGAGTATATATAAAAAAAGAGATACTTAGCTTAAGTCTGTTGTGGCAACATAAATATTTTTTAATGGATCGGATAATTGCCTAGGTTAAGTTCATGCTTCAGAAAGCTTAATACCATGCATTAGAAATGTTTAACCAATCTGAAATTTTAAGCCTTTGATGTACCACTGGCAACTAGATTTTAGAATCCAGAAGAGATTACGTTGAATATATATGTTATGTCAGCTCCAGGCACAACATGATTTTAAACCTACTTATCAAAAGAAACTTTCTGAAAGCCTATTTCATATTTTTAAGAGCATGCAAATTTTTCTGCAAAGGAATTATTAAATAAGGGCACAATGATAATATTTATGTACAACTTTGCCTCATGAAATTAAGTGATGATTAAACCATTATCTGCATTGTTAGTATAGTTTCATGGGTGTCTTCCTACTTACAACATTGTCTCTATGAAGCAAAAATGACAATCATGTTATTTAGCACTAGTTCTTATGAGAACTAAATGTTTAAGTAAGAGAAAACATGTTACTTTGAGGGGAAGTTGTACAGGACATTCTCTGTGGTTGTTTACCCACCATCTCTTTTGTCCCTTAGTAGGTACTCATATCGATGCACATATGAGTATACATGCATATCAATATATAGCTGAAGCTCATGTGTAACTGCTTCTCTGAAATATTTAAAATATATTTATCATCTGAAAATGAATCAACTCAGAAGTTCCAGGCAGAAATAAGGCTTTACATTCTTTTATTAGTCTGTAAAGGGAGAGATGTGTCAGCTTAGAGATGAAAAAGAATCTCATTGTAAACAACATAAAATCTATCTCCATAGTATCTATTAAAAATTTTCCCTCCTGGTGGTGGGTTTCGGAACACCCCCAGGTAGTCATTGGTACTGGACTTGGGTCTCAGGCTGGAAAACGTAGCTTAGAATCAGGCATGCAAACTTCTTAGGCATCAGAAAGAGCCAAGTTTTCTGGATACATTTAATAAATATTTAGTAAAATTCAGTTTGGCTAAGAAGAAAACCGCCATTGTATATCAAGCTTCTCAATGTTTATATGAATGGACTTAATTTTCTTATTAAAAAGCTGATAATTTAAAAAAAGTTCTAGGGGCTGCCCCGGTGGCACAGCGGTTAAGTTTGCACGTCTGCTTCGGGGCCGGGGTTCGCTGGTTTGGATCCCTGGTGTGGACACGACACCGCTTATCAAGCCATGCTGTGGCAGGCATCCCACGTATAAAGCAGAGGAAGATGGGCACAGATGTTAGCTCAGGGTCAGTCTTCCTCAGCAAAAAGAGGGAGATTGGCAGCAGTTAGCTCAGGGCTAATCTTCCTCAAAAAAAAAAATAAAAGCTCTAAATAGACCTTTGAAGAACAAGTTTCTCTTTTATTAAGTGGTCAAGAATAATCATATTCTTTTCTTGGTGAGTTATTGCTGTTTTGTTACTAAGCTGCCTCCACCTCCACCCCAACAGCCTATTCCCGGGCTGCACACACTTGTCCTTCATGCCAACACCACTTATCAAGTGTCACAGCACGTTACCAACTCTAATTATCTTCACGACACCCCTATGAGGTAGGTAGATCAATAGTATCTCTCTTTTACATATGGGAAAAATGAGGCTGAGGATGAGGCTCTGAGGATGAGGACGCCAGGGTGCTCAGGGGCACCTGTGTTTCCAACACCAGACCACGCCCTCCACGTTCTTGTCTCCAGAAAGGAATATATTCCATAGTGTAAAAGGATACTGCTTCATACACTATATTTAAGTGTATTTAAAACAGTCAATATATTCAACACAGGGACTTTTGGTTTTCTACTAAACCACAAATTCTATTCAATTATCACATGATAAAAGATAACTGAAAAAAAAATGTCTAATGTTTTTGTAGTTGCCAATTGATTGTCGCCTCTTTGTTGCCAATTCACCTAAACATTGAACCAAACATCCTGTCAATAACAGGAGGGTAAAAAGATTTGGAAAAGGATTTCGTGAAATAAAAATTTCAAGGAAAAAGAAAAGCAAAGCCAAATTGGATCGGTATGCGCATGTGTGCCTGGAAGCAGCAGCTCAGTGTCCTGGAGACTTTCCCCGTGCGTGACTAGCAAACAGGGTCTACCCTGCAAAGGAACATTTACAAAACACAATTAGCACAGAGCAATGACACCTGGTGGCTGGAGGCTCTTGTCACACAGGTGGTGTCTCCATTTGATTTTGGGGAAACCTGCATCTGATGGGAGGAGGCATCTGACTAGGAAGGGGCTTGCCTACCCCATAAAGCCGTTCTAACTTGCACTAAACGGAGAATTTGACACAACTGAAACACTTCCTAAGAACGTACACAGCACTTAGATTTCCTCCGGAAACCCTCTCATGATCTTTGCATAGCTGAATACCTTCCAGCGCTCTGCGCGCTTGCTCACAGGCAATGCCTCAGAGCAAGTCCACAACACAGGTGCACTTAAAAGAAAATTGGTCTGATTAGCTTGCCTGTTTTTCTGCCCAGCTTCTGAACAGTAAACGAGGCAAGCACACAATTCGAGGAATTACACACACCCCCAATCCAGAGCCAAATCAGATGAAACAAGGAAGAAATGACCCACATAGCCACAAACACAAGAGTTGTATGAATATCTCCAACTTCCCTCCGGAAAGTGACTTTCCATTTGAGGTCATCTTTTTCTTTTTTTCTGTGACTACAAAGAAAACATTACTCTTCCAATATGCTGTAACCAGTTAGTCCTTGGCAATCGGAATGACATGAACAAACCAAACAAAAAACTTTTGTATTTTTTTAATTTGGAAAAAATAGCTTTTACTTCTATTGACACCATAAAATTTACCATGAAATAATTGCATCAAGCAGTTTAAACTACTTTTATGCTTAAAAGCTTAAGAAATCCTTAAAATTAAAACTTTCATTGAAGAATAAAAAGTTAACAAATTTGTAATTCCCTTGAACGGTTCCATCAAGTAGACTTTGTAAATGATTGAGAGTATGTGAAGACCAGAGGGGCAATTATAAAATTACAGAAGATGAAAAGGGCTGAATAAAAAGGTTCCTTGCCAGGAGGGGGCCAAGTGGCAGGCTCCTAGGACTGCTGCTCTGAAGGATGTCTGGGCTGCAGACACGTCTGAACACACCCAGGACGGCCTGGCCTCCCAAACCTCTTCCATTCACGCGTTTACTGAAAGTAAATAAAAATCAAATAGCATTTGCTCTGCATTATTTATTTCTCTTTGCACAACAAAGAGATTTTTAGCAGCAGAATATCATTAGCAATAGATTACTGCACAAGAAAGTTAAATTCCATTACCTACAACACCTGAGCATTTTCTGTCTGTCCAGACAATGCGAGACAGCCAGATGAGAAACTGTATGATTCAAACATCTGGATTTTCCCAAATATCCAGATATTTGACATCACAGAGACCAAATTTACTTTGTGAGTGACCTACTTCTTCACTTTTCATTGAGATATTGGCATTCATGCTGACAATCTTCAGTTTTTAATAATGTCATAGTTCGCTTTAGTGAAGATGGTTCAGCAATCATCTGGAAAATTCTGATGTTGAAAGCCCCCAAATGAAAAGAAACTTAGTCATGAGGAAAAATCAGAGCTTTAGGACTATCAATGGTCTACTGGTTTTGTCTACACTGGAAAATTGCTTAACTGCCCACTTTTTTTCACTTTCATTATTCTGAAAATCATTCACACAGAATTATTTTTCCAATTTGGGGATAGATACACAGACGAGGTGATGGAAGAATCAAGATCCAAAATATGTTTAAATGATTCAGCTAATACTTGTAAACCTGGTTTAGTGAATTTAAACACAGAGGCTCTTGGGATGTCGTGTTGTATTTACAATGGGACGATGAGTAAGGCCATGGTAACCCTGAATCTCATTGTTGTTAAAATGTGTGTGTGGGGGAGGTCAATGGTTCATGTTCTACAAGCAAGAGTACATTCAACACCTGAAAATAGCTCATCCTGTAATCCATCAGGAGCTCTTGGCATGCAGAGCGCGCTAGCAGCGTAGGGGCTGATGACCAATGAGAACTGTTCCCTTGAGGACAGTGTCAGTTTCAGACGTGAAGCTACTGACATCTCCTCTATCTTCCCACCTCAGTCATGCCCTGGCCTTTCACGAGTGGACGCATCTATTGCCATTGCTCCAGAATGGTAGGGGAGACCTTGAACCTCTGTTCTATAAAAAAGCAAATATTCCTGGCAAGCCACTGACAGGTTTCCCGTCACACCTGCACCTCTACATTAATAAAACCTCCTGTCCCAATACCACTTACAGTCACTCTTATGCATGAACCTTGTTTAAGAGGACCGTTTATTGCTCTGTGGCCCACAGTCAAGCAACTCATTGTACATTACAAAGTACGTTTGTGCCTATTTTGCTTTTGGAGCTCAGGAAATTAGCATTTTCTTCAACTTAGTTTTCATTGCCTTGCAATTGAAAATAAGTCACATGGTGGCAGGCCACTTTTTTTTTACCATTAAATTTCGGTTCCTGTGCCAAGAAATAGTTCTGAAAAACAACTTGCCGGAATCAGTGACGCAGCACCATACTGCATCTGTAACTGGGACAATTGCTCAGGAGCTCTGGGTACATCTTGGAGCTAATCCCCAAGATGATCACTTAGGACAGAGAAATATCTTCAAAACACAAGAACAATGATCCCTGCTCCTGCTTCCTATTTTGCTGTTGGATTGCTCATGGGATAAATCTGCTGACTTTCACTCATTCATCTAGGGTTCACTCCTAAAACTGTTATACCGAAGGGTTAGACAGACAACTTTACAAGAACATATGGATGCCCAACTCTCTTGGACACTCTGAAACTACGGTCTGCCGTATATCATTCTTACCTTGCAACTCAAACCTTTATTTAAAAACAGAGAAGCAAGTGGGAAAAAGCATGATTTTAATTATGAGACTACTTGTTTGCTTTTAGGTGAACATTTAGGCATTAAGAATGTCAGATTGGTGATCTTAGAGCTTGTAACCAAGGACTTAGCGAGTCTGAGAAATAACAGGAGAGCCGCTTCTAAATATAAATGTGTCTCAGTTTGAAAGTGGCAATGTCACACCTAGGAGGCAGGAATCCAATTATTCAATAGCTACACCCATGCAGATTTTAACTCTAAAATTGGTTATTACAATGCTGACAATGGTACTCTCAAGAAATGAAGTAAAGTCAGCAACTGTACTCAGACAGATCAATCATTAAAGAGATGACAGTGACATTTGTTCATTTCCAAACACAAGTAGGTTTATATCCATTGAAAGCGAATCTCCAGGACCAGTACCCATTCTCTGAGCTATGCAAGACCTCAGGAATCCATCGACTTTTTTTCTTTCTTTCAATGCAGTGCTTACTGGCAAAAACAAACAAAGCGGATGAATATTCATAGCATGAATGATGAGGAAGCAGGTAGCACGAATTCATTAGTGCCCTGCTTCACAGAGGTCTTTCTCTTCAGGCCTGGGCACGTCCCGGCTGACACTGAAAGCGTGCTCCTTTCCACTAACTGATTCATTTTCCTTTGCTGTAACTTGGCTACAATATTACAAGTCAAGAATTTGCAAGATTAAAGGGTCTGTTGAATTAATTAACGCAAATCACCTTCAGTTAAGCTTGACAAGTTCCAAGACGTTTCTGTAAAAAAGAAGGGAATCGATAGCATCAGCAATATGCAGCTTTGTGACAGTCGAGGCTGGAATTTCTGAACGTGACTGGCTTGCTCCCCTTCCCCTCTCTTGAGGTAGGAGAGATTTCTTTCTTTTCACAGAGCACCAAGTGTCTGATTCAGACAAGGCTTTCCAAACATACTTCAGAGATCCATTTCCTTTTCTGTGTACAATACGTTAGAAAGGTTAATAAGGGAAATTAAAGACTTTAGTAGTTCTTTGAAAGGAGGATATAAAATAACAATCCTTGGACTAGCAGGCAGATCTGCTTTGGTTTTGGGATAATGTGCTATTGCTCCCAATTTTAATAAAGTAAGGATTCACAGTGGGGCCAATTGCAAGCTACAGGTCCAGGGTTAATTGTAAGTTAATATGTCCAGCACACTCAAACGCAAGTGTTCATTTTCCAGAATCATAATGGATTGAAATACTGGTGTTGATTAAGACATGTTCTACTGGTTTGTAATCAAAATAGGAATTTCTTACGGTGATAGAAACCCGAAATATACCTTCAACACACTCAGGGGTGTTTTAGGACTTACTGATAAATGAATTAATTTGAAATAACTGAGAGCGTTGATTTGCTACAACTCCATACCAGAATACCACTAGAACAGTTAAGTTAAATTAGCTTAAACACAACATCTCCATTTGTTAATATTTGTAGTATTTAAATGAAGTAAGAATTTGATTACTTCCATTTTAATGCAAATCAAGCAATAGAGAGAGGAGAGCGGCCACGAGCTTAATTTGGTAGGTGGAAGTATAATAAAAACATGAAACCTTACATTTTCTGAAATTCTAATAACAGAGTAGATGACAGGCTTCAATAATAACACAAAAGAAAATTTTGCGTTGGTACTGTGCTGGTAATATTTGCTTATCAATTTGACTATTTCGATTTGATGTTGATCTGTTTTGTTAAATGTGATCTTGCTCTGCAAACATCCTACCAGTAACTATATTCTTCTTATCTGGTGCAATGGCTAAAACAGCAGTAATCATGGCAACGAACCGTTAACGTGGCATGAACCTAGAAATCCTCAGACCTGGCATCATTTTTAGGTCAACTGTTTTATTGATGCTTGATGGAACTCACCAAGGAATTCTTTGAATTGTTCTGTACTTGTAAAAATTAATAAGCTTTTTTCTCTGTTTTTACTCCATAGAGGACCAATGGGTTTAAACATTCCTGGACCAGAATTATTTCAGGTAGAGAAAATTAGTTAAGCAAGTTAATAATTACCTTTAAACAGTCCTACATTCCTTACATCATGGGAAGCCAATTACTCTGAGCCATATTGCAGGAGAGCTTGGGTTGGGTATAATGCCAGCATGAGCATCCATACCAGGCGAGTCGGGCCGTCCTGACTCCTGAGGGTCACACAGCACAGTGCCGCCCTTCTGGGCATCAGCAGTATGGCTTTAGAACAACCTCTCATGTTGGAATAACTGAGGTTTATGTCTGGAAATTTGTGATTCCTAAATAACTAGCATGCTGGAGACGTATCTTATGTGATAATGAAGGATGTTTCCTGAATCAGAGAACTAGCCTATTAGAAAATTCTTCAGATATTTTAGATGCATCCCAATTTCATGCCCTTTCTTAAAAGACATTCTCAGGAATATCTCCAAAATTTACTCAGAGGTGACTGTTTTGAGTTAAAGCCTATGTGCCAAAAGAGTATTTTAATTTTTTTGTTGCTTTGTGACCTTGATTTAAAAATATCTGGTGTTGGAGAGGCATAAGAACAAATTAAAACATTGCTTTTCTCTTTATAGGTAGTCTTCCATTGTTGATTTATATTTATGTCATTGCCTTTTGTTTGTCATTGTGTGTGGCAATTGTGTATTGTGAGGTTAACATAACACAATCTTGGGAAAGCTTATGTTTATTACTCTAGTATAGAATTAAAGATTGATATTAAAAAGAGAAGCAGTGTAGCAGAGCAGAAGAGTTAGAGTTGAAGTCAGGAGACTCTTATTCTGCTACTAATAACCAAAGTGTGAGCGGCAGGAATGTGGGTTCCTCTTGCACTTGGCTGTGTGTTGCCCCCCAATACTCGCCATATAGATCATGCCTATGGAATGAACGACTGAAGGAATCCTGATTACAAAAATGGCCTGATCTTTTTGGATCTCCGTTGTCTCATCTATAAAAGAAGTGTGCTGAAGTAACACTTGGATCTCTTTTAGATGCTATTTTCTATAAAAATTAGTGACTTCTAATGTAACATAACTTCATAAAGATCTGCTTAAAGCTTATTAAAGCAAGAAGATAGATGACTGCTCTTATTTTTAATATGTTAAATTCCGATTGACCACTGCATATCTTTTTAAAATTAACCCCAGCGTTGAGGAAATTTTTGGTTTATTATTGGCTACCTTTTTAGCATCAATTCAAACAACAACACACACAGCTTACTATATGTCATTGAATGGTTACAACTCTGTCATCCTGTAGACCTCAGACAGATTACATCCAAGGTGAGGAGGGAAAGGATACATCAATTATTTTATAATCAATTCAACAAATATTTGGCAAATATTTGCTATATTCTTTGCATCTAAACTTTCCATCTAAAATAACGTTCCTAGATTTATATGATGGGCAAAGCTAGTGGGATAATAATCCTCTTAAATAAAATTTAGGGAAAAATTATGGCAATGGAATAGAAGAATGTCACTGCAAACATTTGTTGATCTGTCTTTCTTTCCTTTCTCTCTTTCTTTCTTTTTTTTGGTCACAGTATCAAAGTAAGTAGTGGGGTTGAGGTATTTTTCAGTCTGTCTACTTTGACGACAGTAGCGTACATGTATTGAACACAAGAGAAGAGCCATTGGGTTAATTTCCAATTATCACTACGTTAGTGTATCATAGGGTCATGGAGGGGTACAGCTGTCTGAAATGAAAATGTAGCATTTATCTGCCTACTATGAATTAGGGTGTTGAAGTAAAATTCAGTTACGGGTGATACAGGCTTCCACTTCTCATCACTGACTTTTTAATTTTTAACTTTTCATTTTGAAAGACATATTTGACTTTTAAACAAAATTTTCTTTGAAACATTTGATCGTCAGACCACACTTTTTTTCTCCTGGAAGCTTGCCAAATCAGGAACAGATTTTGTTGGGAAAACATTCTTTGGTCTTCTAGAAGGATTTGCAGTTGTTAAAAGTTGTTACAAGTTGTGTTCAACTCTTAGCTCCACTGTTTCCTAGCTGTGAGACCCCTGGCAATTTGTTTAACATCTTGGAGTTTAACTTTTGTCATCTGTAAATGGTACTTAACTCACGGACAGTTTTGAGGATTAAATGAGATCACAGAGATGAAGCTTTTTAGCACAGCACTGGGCACACGATAGGCTCACCATGACGGTAAGCTACTATCAATATAGGGAACTGAAATGCAAGAAAACCAAAGGGGAAAAGACATAACCACAGCAAAAATTTGACTTGGTCAGTGTTTCTGACTTACATTATGTCAGTGTATCATGAAAATATTTCAGCAAAATGATTAAACATTTCAGGGACATTAAACCATCTCTTATTTAGCAGAACACAGGCCACAAAAGGTTGAAGTTTCACATTTCTGGGTAGATCATTGCCTGCAATATAACAAAAATCTGATTTTTTTTTCTTGTGGAATCTAGAGAAAGAGCTTCAGATGGATGGTGAAACAACATGATGCCTCAGAGACTCCGGGGAGAGTTTCTGAACCCCTCATTTCTGTGGGCAAATGGCTGTCTGCCACTTCTTCCATTTGGCTTTCTGCTGTGAGCTCAGGCTGTGTGCCTGCTAGCCTAATTGCTACAATTAGCAAAATTAAATGGCTCATTGTGTTTTTATACAATTCCACCCACATTTTGCAGAGTTTTACTTTTGAATGAGTAATTAGACTGTTGAGGTTGTTGATCACAGGCACATATTGAGTCTTTCCACATGCTCATTTTTAGGAAAGCCACTGGACAAGACATATGTCCGTAGAGGGAACTCTGTAGTGGACAGTGGAGCCTGCCTGAGTGAGGAGAGAGATGCAACCCTGCTGTTAAGATCATTTCACAGCCTGATACAGGGCCAGGGAGTAAGGGGGAGGGTGATAGAGGGAAATGGCCCATCCTTAGCCATTTTGAAATGCTCTAGCTTCAGATGGGGCGAAGGGGTGTTAGGAGCCACAAGCTGGCCGAAGCAATCATTTTGATTGTTCTCAAAGGTAACATTGGATTGCTGAAGATAAATGAACATGAGTTGATCTGCATCCATCACTGAAATTATAGAAACAACCACCTCAGTCCTGTTGTGTTTTCACCATGCATTTCAACATCCTCTGAGCTATATTTCTGAAAGACGGCTGGAGCTATTTTTACAAAGTCTTTAAGGAATTCTCCTTAGAAACATAGAAATGTGGGCATTGCATCCGAGTTTTATACGGAAACAGTAACGGCTAATGGAAAGATGTGTGAGAATGCAGGGGAGCACGTATTTAGTCTAGAAAATGGTTCATTAGAAAAAAATCTCTAGATTCTTTTCCAAACATTGTGTCAGAACTTGTTTCCACTCAACGGCATTTGGTACATTTAAAGGCAGATTTGTAACCTTACACAATCCTGGTAAGGATACCAGAGGTTTTCTTTGCTCAATTCACTTGGTTCAGAGAAAGAAACTTCGAAATGATTCAAAACTCTTCTATTTAGCTGCTTAAAAGATGAGATCCTTTAGGAGTAATAAAGCTCATTCAAACTAAAAGGGCTAAATTATACGTAGGTATTTCCAACTGAATTCACAAGTTTGTTGACGTCTTATAGACAGGGATTGTAAGCCTGGGCTGATGTTGAAAAAGAAGTAGGAAAAAACTTTTTATCTAAATTTCATGTGTCAATAACATCCCAATTTATATGCATGAAAGGGCAGTATATACTTTATCCTTTTCATCTCTGTTACTTTAGGTGTGTGTGTGTATATATATATATATATATCTCTCCATACACATATATAATATACATAATACAATATATATATGACATACACACATATATATGATATTTAAAAAAACCAGTCATTGAGATTTCAATTATTTCCATTCACTTTTAATTGGTCAGTGCTGTCGCTTCATTTATTCATAGAGCAAGATAAATTGAGCATTTAGAAATTAAGTAGAAATACTTCATTATACTTTTGTCTTCATATTATCTTTGCATTGTTTCTCTTGCTAATACTTGAATTGCATATTCTTGCCATGTCAGTAGGAGAATTTATTTTATTGACTGGGTTCACAGCATTGTCATAAGTGAGTAGTAACTGAGTGTCTGCAAAGTCAATGTTACTGAACTAGACAGAACATAGTTAAGTAGGACAATGTAAATGTAGACAGAACATAGTTAAGTAGGACAATATAAATGTGAGAAAAGAATTTAAAGGACATAGTCATTTTGGGGGACCAAACTTTGACTTACACGGAAAAATTCTTTTCTTCCACACAAATACTTAGTCTCGGTATGTTAAGACATATATGTTCCTTAATCTTAAATATGGTTGCATTTAGAAATGCTAATTTGAAAGTAAAAAAAAATTACAATATTTTCTTTTAGAAAATTTCGTGGTCCTACGCAAAAAGGGAGGACAAGGGCAGATCCCCCTTAAAGAATTAATAGACTCAGACACAGGAAGGTGGAGCCCACAGACAAAGAATCCAGCATTTCCAGTTTGTGTGCTAACCTTAGTTTGCTCCTGTTAGATTCTCCAGTTACTGTCTGTGGAGGGTTCAAAGGCAGACTGAAAATGAAATCCTCGGAAGAACTAAAATATAAATACAAAAATCAAACTTTGTTCCTCTGTACATTGACAATGTCTCTTTAAATCCTAATACTTTAAACTCTCTGTTATCTGTGTATCTAGAAACTAATAAAAGTTCTTATCACCACACAATCTGATGGCAGTGCAGTGCTTTCTGAATCATGGCAGCAAGATTAAGTCATAATTTTCCTCGGAAGTTAATTTTTTCGTTCTTGTAATCTTGAGAAAGTTTGTAATTTATAACATAGTGGAGATATTATTTCCTTAGCAAGAATTTTTGACTAACTAAAACATCATAATCTTCAAGTATGTTGGATAACAGAGTATTTACAGTATTTGGGAAATCACTGAAAAATTCAAACTTCTAACACTTTCCTGGCTGCATTCTCGTCTCTACGACAAATTATTTTTTATTCACATACATTATTTTTTATTCACATAGCACTCATTTAGACTCTTAACATGTTAAATGAGGGATCGAGTTGAGAAATAATTTAGGACTTACATGATTGAAGAGTGATGGGGCCTTTTGGGTTTGTGCTGATTGACACTATTATACTGTAACCTGTTATTTATTCATGGAATCAAAGACATAGTTCAGTTGAGCAATTCAGTTTCCAAAGATCATCAATTAAAAGTTGTCTTGGAAATAATGAAGCTAATAACTCACGGTTCTGCATAAGAGTGAGGAATTTGCCAACATAATCATTTTTTCCTCCTACAAAGGGGATGGAATGTTTTCATCAATTGCTGGCAAGAAGAGCATCTTCCTGGGCCTTTACTGGTGACTAGGCAATCTTTTCACATCTGAACAAAAGACTATTATTTTTTAGTGGAAATCTTGCTTGGAGGGTCAAATCATGGACTACTAGGAAGGTATGTTTACTGGTAAAAATCATCTACCTTTTAAAGATTGCTTTGGGGCTTGTACCAAAAGAAGTCCTAGGTTGAGCCCTCTGTCATTTCCTGTGGATGTCATCACGAGGACAGCAGTCTCTGTATGACACACCCATTATAGGTGATGGTTATAAAACTTGACTATTTTAAGTGAATTGGACAGTCCAAATAACTAAATAACTAAGTTAAACTGACTTTTTTCTTTCTTTTTTCTTTTTTTTTTTTTTAGTGACGACTAATATTTAATATATCAGTTGGGTTAATATAAAACCAGGGAAGGAGGTTAAGACATCTTCCACTGTGGTCAGGTTTGTCATAATGGAAGGATGAAAGTAATCATTTACATCTTTGATTTCCTGGGAAACATTGGCCAGTCTTGACAAGCCCTTTCTAGTTAAGCTGATTCTCTCGTCACCTGATATTCTGATAGCACCCCTGGCCAGGTTCCTGGGGGCACCAACATTGCAAAGTAGGGTGATCTTGCAGGAGACAAATGTTCTCCATCTGCTGAGGCAGGCTGATGGAATTTGTGGACCAGTTTCTGACATCCCAAGTAATTATGATGCTTAAAGTATTTTAAATGATTTCCAGGTCTATAAAAAAAGTGATGATGCCTATATGTATACCCTATATTTTTTATTACAAAAATATTGAAATAATCCATGAGTTATTCCACTCTGCACCAACTATAAAAAAATACTATCAAAGTTTGACCGGCACTTTTAATGCAACAAAAAAGCACCATGACCGAGGACACTGGGAACAGAAAGCGGGGAACGTTTACTTGCTGTACGGAGGTATTTAAAACCCAGAAGCTTGTTGTAAGAGTGTGACTTTACAAATGATTCAAATACAAATCTTAGCTGGATCTAGTGGTAAGCTTTCAATCAGTTCAGGAGGGTTTTCTCATAGCATATTCACTGCATTTGTCTGCTCATACTTACTAAAAAGTGTCCCAAAGCCTCTAAGAGACACATCACTTTGACCTTGGATGGGGGGGTCTGTACACAGTGGAGAACTTGACTGCTCATTCTCACTTTTGCTTTTGTGGAGCTCATGCCACTCATTCTCTGTTGTTCGGCGCTTGCGTGTCAGTCCTGCAGTTGGACGGTGTTTGGCACTAGAAAGTTGTAGCTTGGTGTGTTCTGGAATCGCGCCTGCTGTCATGGCACAGCACCATGGATTCCGCGACCTGAAACATCCAGGTACAGGCGGGTCCTCTCCTGCAGCTCCACCCTTACGTTCCAATGTGAGCTGCACAGGCCGGGAAATCAGATGCTCATTTTGCCTTTATCCCGCCTTCCTCTTTGTGCATTTATTAAATTTTTGCAATTGAATACTCAATCATGATTATCTTTTAATTTACATCACTAAGTTATCGAGCTCCTTGGTCTTGTCAAAAGCCACACGTGCTGCATAGGATTTATGTCATAAAGGATGTTCTCAACTGAAAATTTAAAATAAAAAACAAATCCTGAAATGTGTCAAAAACAACCATTCCATCAATTCTAATAGACGTGTAAACACATCTGAGTTTGCCGTCCGTTGGATGGGCTTTTCACGCACGGTACTGGTTTCCAAATGAGAAAATGGTTTATGAGTTCCTTTCTAAGCAGTACTATTTTTTTTTTTTCTGGAGTCTTGAGGGATATAGTCTCTCTTTGTTTTTATTTATATTCTTGTGGGAATCAGAGCTTTGCATCAAGAAAAATCACCTAAGCTATTTTGAGAGAGGACTGGTGTCGTGTGTGTGAGTGTGTGTGTACATTTGTGTATGTGCGTGTATGACTGAATATATTTTTATGCAAAGATCAGTTAATTCCATCAAAACACCCTATTGATTGGAGGCAACATTTTCCATAATAATAGTACCCTCTGGTGGATGCGCTGAAAGACCGCGCAGGAGGTTGGTAGCAAGAAGGAGTCCTAGTAAGCTGGCACGTTCCCTTCAGGTGGAGCAGGAGACTCTCGGGGCTGCTGTTTTGAAAGGAGACCAGCCGCAGGCAGTCAACTGATGGAGGGTCAGACAATAATCATGACAATGGTCAGACTAAGAACATTAGAGCTCGTTGCCCTACTCTAGGATGAAGTTTCCTTATTGCCACAGCCCTGCTGTCACCCCTTCATCTGGAGGTTGTGGCTCCTCCAAATCCTCTTGTTTTATAAAGTGGTTTCATACTCCAAACGCTCCTGAATAAGGGCATCATCTTTGTACTGCAGCCTTGGAGGAGACGGGGAACATTCAAAGGCTAAAATGGCCTTTCGGAGGCTTCGGTCCAAAACATGTCTCTCCCATGCTGGGTACCTATTCCTGAACAGGTCAATTTTAATGACAGATTCTTCAATCCGTGGTGGGCGAGATGATGGAGTGGATGGGGCAGTGGGCCTCACCTGAAAGACAGGTACACAACCATCTCGCTCTGCAAATTTCTGGTCGCGGTCGCTGACAACACTGCGGTTGTTGGAGATGGACCGTAGAGTGCTCGTGGCCACTTCTGGAGGCAGAGTGAAGGCAGCGACCGGGTCCTCACAAGCACAGCTTGGTGACTGCCCAAATCTGGGTCCATTGGGGTGAAAGAAGGCATAATACATCAGCATAAAAACAACGCCAGTTAAAAAGCTGCTGAACACCACGCACAACGCTGGGATGGCAAATGCATCTGCAATCTGGGGAGCCTTGTAGAGGTACCAGAGGGCACTCAAGGCTGTATTTTCCAGAAGGATGACAAAATAGTAAATGAAGAGCCTGCAGCGTGTCCTGCCTTCCTTGACGTTGAACCAGCTGAAGATGTAGATGATCCCCACCACCATGTCGAAGACAATCTCTTCCCATTTGGTGATACAGAATTCTGTCTCACAGTGGACGATCCAGAAGGTCATGATGCACCAGTGAAGGACGATGAAGATCCCAAAGTACAGCTGGAAAACCGAGGCAAAGAGGGCGAAGGTGATGACCCTGGCAGCGATGGTGAAGAAGTGCCAGCAGAACTGGATGACAACGGCCATGTAGCTGATGGGCTTCTTGTCATCTCGAGAGTCCCGGAGGGCCTTCTGGTAAGAGGCCAAGGCCCAAGCCAAAGACACGAGGGAGGCTGCTGCTGTGAAACCTACAAAGGCAAACAGGAAGACATTCTGTCAAAAATGAGATGCAGTGTTGTCTCCTGAAAATAAGTCACGTGGAGCTGGGGACTTGACATAGCTAGCTTTGATCCCAGCAAAGCTCTTAATTTCTTTAAGTTTTAGCTGGACTAAACACTTAGATGGAGCTCCTACTATCTGTCCTCTATGGGGCCCCAACCACATGGAGAAGTCATGAAGCTAATGAGAATGCTCCTCAAAATCATCATGGGGTGTGGGATCTGGAAACAGAGTGGGGTTTAACTTTCTGTGTATTTAGTGTAAGTAAACCAAGGAAGTAGCTCTGTGTAGTGGGAATGTAACTGTGGCCTGGAGGTTGACAGAACTGGGTTGCTGTTTGCACTTTGCCGATTACTATCTGCATGACTTGGGATGATCATTTAAACTGGGGTCCTCGTTTATAAAGTGGCTGATCTCTGGGCTCTCTTTCAGCGTTGAGACGCTGTGATTGGAAGGGGTCAGTAATCACAGGAAACTTGAGGGGCTAGCTGGTTTACCTTTCTACTTCTAAACAAGAATAAATGTAGGTTGTTCACAGAAAAAGGTTTATTCTTTCTTAAAAATAAGAAAAGGAGACCACAGAACCTCCTTGGCAATGTTTCCTGTGACAGCTGGTGTGCCCTTTGTCCTAACACAATCTGATACTCTTCCTACAGCTTTTTTCCGCTTAGAAGAAGAAATGTCTGCTCACTGTCATTCAACTCTAACTCTTTTATAAATTAAGGATCATACAGAAATCACTTCTCAAACACTTCTTATCATTTTATGAGCCCCATTTGGTTAGCATTCCTCCTAAAATTATGTTTCCAAATTTTAAAAATTATTTTTATTGGTCTCCTCCACTCTTGGTCCATCTGCTGTGGCTGAAACATCACCTTGATGGTGCAGATGTGGACAGGGCTCACCCCAAACTCGCTGGCCTCCTTGAGGAGATAGCTTTTTCAGGGAATTCCACTTTGTCACTGAAACGTTATGTCAAGCTGCATTGTAGCTGGCTTACTTAACGAGCCATACCAAGACTTACCAAGACTAAGCATGGTTCACCAGAATCTACTACCAATCACAACCAGGCCACATTATAGTCTTGCTCCCCCTGTGGAAATAACAGAAGGGAGAATGCCAAAAACTTATGATGGCATCTGTATTTTTCATATTTTGATAGAGAAAAGCTGTCTGTGGTCCTTGAAAAATGAATTAAAAAAAAATGACTCTAGTGGGAAAGAGCTACTCGAATTGATAGAAAAAACATGCAAACTCAACAGTCATTTCTTACACATTTTTCTTGAGTAAGGTGAACTCCAAAAACACAATTACTTATAAAATATTTTCCAACAGACACTTCTCATATCTAATCCCAATCAACTCAGCAGAACATCCACATCTTATACTGGACCTTCAGTTTTTTTCTGTCCAGCACAAGGTGTTTCATGACTGTAACTTTCAGGCAGTTATGGCAAGATTTCTAAGTCAGTGAGATCAGTACACAAAGGAGCTTACATTAATGTAATTTCTACGTGGTGGAAAACACCTACATCAACTATAAAGCAAATTCAGGAGTGAAAAGAGAGGGATGGAAGAAAAGTTAATAAAAAGAAGAAAGAAGGACCAGCTCCGCGGCCGAGTGGTTAAGTTTGCGCACTGGCTTTGGAAGCACAGGGTTTCACCAGTTTGGATCCGGGGCACGGACTTGGCACCGCTCATCAAGCCACGCTGAGGCGGTGTCCCACATAGCACAGTGAGAAGGACCTACAACTAGAATGTACAAGTGTGTACTGGGGGTTTGGGGAGAAGAAGGAAGAAAGAAAAGAAAATTGGCAACAGATGTTAGCTTAGGTGCTAACCTTTAAAAAAAGAAAAAAATGAAGCAATTATTAGTGAAAAAAAAAAAAAAAGAGGAAGAAAGTGAGAGGATGGGAAGTAAAAGGTGACAGATGGGAGAATGACTATTTGCATGACATAGTTTAGGATATAAGAACAAAGGGGGTGCCATTTTAGTTTGAACAACTTTATGGGCCATGGAAACCACTCATGACCTCGCTCCTTATTTGTACCATTTGTGATGGCACGGATTGCTTCTCGAACAGACTGTGTTGTCCTTGTGCGTTTAAGCTGTGCACCCAGCGCTGCTCCTCCACTGGAACGCCCCTCCTGTTTTCCCACGCAGGCTGCATTCTTTAGGACTGCGCTTGAGCACAGCGCCACCTTCAGGAAGATGGCTGCATTGTTGGTGGGGCTCCAGCAAAGGGAAGCGCAAGCTGGCTGGATTAGAATAGTGAACGGCCAGGCCTGTCAGATCAGGGTACCAGTTTGCACAGGAAGATGTTATTAAAGGCTGTTTTCCAAAGCAGTGAAAAACAGCAAAAAAAAAAAAAAAATTTTACGTACACAACATCATAAAATTATCTTTCGTCACATTTAAAAGAATTGGAAAATTAGCTTAGTCCAAATTCCCCTGTAATCTTCACCCCTTCCATTGCATGTCTTAAAAAAGTAATTCCGCCTGCATTTGACACTCCAGGAACTTGTTAAGACAATATTCCGGCAGTAGAAAAATGAAGATTTTCTGCCAGCTTTGCTTTCTATGTATCTTACAATTTAAGAAGTCTATACCAAGGGAAATTTTATGTCCAACACTGCCACTTCCTTCATAAATTTTCCATTTTAGCAACAATTAGAATTTCCTGTATTCGTTTATTATGATTTTGTTTTTCTTCTGTTTGGCAATTAATTTTTATTAGACCAATATATGTCTGCACAGAAAATATGGGGCTAGTTTAGAATTAGTCCTTATTACAAATTCACACCAGCCATGAAACACTTGGTTCGTTTGCTTTTTACACAAATAATATCAGCTTAGTTGTTCGAAGGCCAAGAGACACTTCTCAGCAAGGCATGGCATTATTACTGGGGTAGAATTCTCTGTAACTTCTGACGCATGGTGGCATGCGTCTTTTAACTTTTTAACTTTTTATCTGAAAATAATTTCAAACCTACAGAAAAATTGCAAGTATAAGAATAGTACACGGAACACCTATATGCTATTCACCCAGGTTGCCTTTGGCCTCATTTGATCATTGCCTTCTCTCTTTCTCTCTCTCCCTTTCTCTCTCTGAACCATTTGAGTGTAAACTGCATACATCATGGCTGCTATGGTCTGAATGTTTGCGCTCCCCCCAAATTCATATGTTGAAATCTTACCTCCTAAAAGTGATGGCATTAATAGGTGGGAACTTTGGGGGTTGCTTAAGTTACGGGCGTAGTACCCTTATGAATGGAATTGGCACCTTATAAAAGAGGCCCCAGAGAGCTCCTCCCTCCCTCCCACCATCTGAGGACACAGCGGGAAGCTGCTGGTGGTGAACCAGGAAGAGGACCCTCATCAGAGGCGTGACCACACTGGCACCTTGATCTTGGATCTCTGGACTTCCAGCATCCAGAACTGTGAGAAATAAATTTCTGCTGTTTATAAGCTACCCAGTCTGTGGTATTTTGTCATAGCAGCCCAAATGGACCAAGACAATAGCCTTTTGCCCTAAAATATTAAAATGTTAAAATAGATCAGAGCTCAGAAATTATCTAGTGCAACGACCACATTTGACAGAGAAGAGATTCTCACTTTGAGAAGTTAACGGATTTATTTTCCCTCCTTCCCCCTAGTTGTCTCTGATGAAAATTGTCCTTTCACTCCAAAGCTGACCCTCCTGCTTCCTGGAGAAAGGACCCCATCAGCCGTCTCCTCTCTGTGTGTATCCCAGCTCTTTCTCTGCAAGAGCTCCTTCCCTGGGGGGTTATAAACGTGTAATGAGCCTCCTTTCATCCCAAGAAATGCCCTTCACTTGATTTTATCTCTTCTCCTTTATTTCAGACTTGTCTCTTTCCTGTTTTTCCTTCTATTTTTTGTTTCTTGTTTCCCCATTTCACTTTGCTTATCCTTGAGATACTGGCCCTGCTTGGATGCTGCCCTGCTTCTCTTCCCTTCTCAGCCTCTTGCTGAGTGATTCCACGTGCTCCCACTGCTTGAACCATCTCCTCCAACTCAGCAAACACCCATCCCCTACCAGCTGTCTCCAGCTCTGGAGCTGTGTGTCTAACTGTTGACCTGAGACTCCACAGGCCTATAGTCTATGTGTGACGAGGTGCACACGCTCAAACCCCTGGAAGCAATCTGGCCTAGATGACAACATTGGCTTTCTCCTGGAAAGAAGACTTCTTTCTTCTTCCCTTATGCTCCCTGTTGTTAGCGTAATACCCTTCTCAGAATGAGAGGGAACATGAATTTCCAGATCAGTTGCCACAGTTCTAAGAAGACGGTTTTATGTGCAGCTTGACTGAAATACTATTTTGCAAATCCACCCAAATCCAAGTGTCCACAAAGTGTGCCATTTTGGTGCATTGTGTCAGAAAGGGTCTAGAATTTTGAGCTGAAGGCATTTGAGTTCCTGTAATTGCTTATTTGCCTAAAAGCAGAGCCTCCCAAAGGAACTCAGTTGTCATAAATTCTCTCCCTGGGAGCAACTCTAATCTTCTTTTCTGGAAGAGAAGTTGGCACCACAACCAAATAGACATTGTCACAAAACTATCATATCTCCCATCTATTTTCCTGAGTCCTTTATTTTCCCAAAAAGTTATTTGTTTTTCCACAAATGCCCTTACTCCCTCACTTCTAAGAAATGCTTTGTTCTCCCAGAATTGCCCTTCCCCAACCCCTATTAAGATGGTATATAAACTCCAAATTCTAACCACCTCCTTGAATCACATCTCTCTATGAACTCCTATTCGGTACATATGTAATTACATATGTAATTTACATATTTAAATACATAATTACATTGTCTTGCTAATCTGTATTTGGTTGGTTTAATTTGCAGGCCCTCAAATACTGAACATAAGAGGGTAGAGAGTTCAGTTTTTCCCATTGTTTTTGCTTTCTTACTGCCCAGATGTCCAAACAATTGATCTGACTTTGACT